AAAAAAAAAATTAAAAAAAAAACCCACAAAAAAAAAAAACAAAAAAAAAAAAAAAAAAAAAAAAAAAAAAAAAAAAAAAAAAACAAAAAAAAAAAAAAAAACAAAAAAAAAAAACCAAAAAACATTCACAATTTGGGCCTCTTTAATATCCAAGGCCTCCTGCAGCCTCATAAAGATGATGCCACACACATGCTCACAAAGCCTCTGGCTAATTAAAAGTTTTCAACACAAACAAGGATAAGTAAGCCTCATCTTGTCTGATAATTTATTTCTTAGTCAATAAATTAAATTATTTTTCATTTTAATTTCATAAGCCAACAATAACAAACACAATGGTGATATCCTCGCCCTTTTCCAATGCCCTCCATTTGATCCGCCAGTGGTTGAATTATGTAATAATTAAGATAAAAGTTAACAGTACTAACTTGAAACTGTAAAGTAACCGCAATAAAAGACATTAAAAGACGCATATAAATGGCATTATTTTTAAGAGACGAAAAAAAAAAAAAACGCAGTTTGTTCCCCTTTTCCATCTGCATCCTTGAACTTTGAGTTTACAAATTTTAACGCATATTGATTGGTTGGCCCTGTTGTTCACGCACTGAAAGCGTGACCTTCTCGTTAAAATTTTCAGAATAACATTTGATATGGCCGACGGATTGTTTACTGTGGCTGCATTCTACTGTGTAATTAAATAGACCATCAAATTATTTAGTTATTATTATGTGATGGCAGTTGATGATATTAGACCTATCAGTTCTCAAAATAGAATGTTAGATATTAAGGAAGAAAGATCTCCATCTTTGGGGGCTTCAACAAGCACTATCCATAGCGGTCACTTTATGGTAAGTCGTGTCCATGATGTAAACAACGACGATGAAGACGAAGAGGAGATCCCATCCCCATTCAACGATGATTCAAAGGGCTACGATTTCTTGTCTGCCAATAAGGAGACTTCTAAAACTTATGATTTTGGAAATGAAAACAGTCAGGCCACTGTTGCCATTGATGCATCGCTGACTAAACTTTTCGAGTGTATGACCCTCGCTTACAGGTAAGCAGTAGGCTCAGTAGGCCTAGGCCTAAAAATACTTATTTTGGTACGAAAATAATTTGGCCTTGAGACTTGATATCTTTTATCGAGTCACTTGTTTGTGCCTATTTGCTAATGTGATGAACTTAATTAATAAATAAACAAAACAAAATGGTTAATCCATGACGCCCCTACTATGTCATCATCAACAACTAGCTTAGTAGTTAGACTAAGTTATAATTAAGACATTCAAGACAACATAGTTAATTGGTTAAAGTTAAGTACTTGTATTCATAGTAAAATCATAGTAGACTAGGACTCTAGGAGTAGTAGTAGACTTAAGGGCTAATATTACTTTGGTGCACCACTTTGAGTTTCAGTGTAGGATTCTCTCTTTTATTTATTCTTGGCTGTGAATTATTTTTATTTTTTTTTTACTATTAATATTAATACGCATATGAATATGCATATTTAAAATGTTTTAAATTATAATTTCATTGGGTGGTTAGTTAAGGGAGCGACCGCAGATTGTTGACGTTTCTTGCCATATATCTACAGTACAGGGATACAATAAAGCTGCTACACCTATATTCGCTGCAAAATTAATATACCGGGTGAAATTATGACAGTAAAGGGGGAGACCACAGGTAGTTGACACTTGTTGCCCCGAATCTAGAGGGATGCAATAAAGTTGCTATGTTTGCCATAAAATTAATGTACCAGCTGAAGTTATTTCATTAAATTTTAACATTTTGTTGCTACTTTCGTTTCTCTCTGTAGGCATCTAAAACAGCTCATTCTCTCTCTTTCCCTTCCCCTTTTTAGCAGACGTGATCGTGCGACTTTTTAAAAAACTTGGCCCCCATCTTGGCTGCGATGACACTCTGACGTCAAGCAACCAAGATGGCGGCAGGGGGAAATGAGTGGCGGGCTGAACCAACATTTTTTGGGCACTGGGTTAAGTAGGCCTAATTGGGTCAAGCGGCTAACTTAGGCTATCCTGTACCACCATTAGTTTCTTTGTATGAGTGAACTCCCCCTTGTTAAGTTGCAAATTTTTACTAGAGTTAACTTTTATTTTTTTAATTTTAATATACTAATTGAATGTTTTGATTGATGAATTGTTAAGATAATATTTCAAAGCAAGGTTCATTATATTGGATTTTTAAAAGAAGGTTTATGTTTTGCCTGGGCTGAGCCTGGTTATTTGATGAATAGATTTTGACGGTGGAACCTGAAATAAAGTGAGTAAAAGTGAATTAGATGAAACTAAGTTGGGTTTTCATCATTTTGAATATTTAAAAAATAATTTTGACCCTCTTGAGCTAGCTGGGCCGATCTATTGACCCAGAGTTGAATGGCGAAAAGATGAAAGGCCAATTCATCTGCCAAATAATAAAAGCTTTGAGATTGGATGTCTGGTCTTTGTATCAGCTAACCAGTTTGCTTCTCTCAGTTCTTGCTCATCTCACCATTTTAATGGCAGCTTCCAGTGATAGTTTACAGCAGGGTCTCAAACCCGCGGGCCATTTGCGCCCCCCAAGACTATATTTTGCTGCAAATTTAATGTTAATGCGGCCAGCACGTTTTTCCCATTCTCATATGTATAATGTAACCCTCGGCGACGGTTTCAGTCGAAACTCACCAGCTAGTCTAATTTTTATTATGTTTGTATAGATTTGGACATTTGATTGTAATGGTAAAAACAGTTTTAAAATCGGACTAAAAGTTTTTAATTTGTAGCCTTTTATGTGCCAAACATGGCCTAAGTGCAGTTTTGAGAAAACAGGCTTCGAATATCATATATACATATTTCAAAATTTTAAAAAGTCAGGTAGTGGCCTTCAAAACTGCACTCAAAACACATCTTTTTAAATTATACTACCCTGAGTGATTCCCCTCCTCTGACCGATAAACGATCTTGCTGGCTGCCGTCCATGGTTTGCCTTGTTATGTGGTGGGGTGGGTGAATATACATTTTTTTGCTGTTCTTTATTTCATAAATGTATTTTATTTTAATGTCATGATTATGTCTCTTTTGATAAAATTTTTATGTACAGCGCGGTGAGCCCAGCCCTAGGCTGGGGTACCACACTATATAAGACCCCTTATTATTATTATTAATAATGCGCAACCATAATTGTGTAAATCTTAGCAATCTGACAAGGTATCAAAGAATCCCTATTAAAATTGCCGCTAATGTTTATGAGTGAGGGGTAATTCCGAACCTGTCAGCTTGGTCACTTGCGCTGTCAGGTCTCTGGCAACAAGCAGTAGGAGGAAGAAAGTGAAGCCTAGTTCTTGAGAACCCTTAATGTTTTTATTTGTTATTACTAAAGGTTGAACAGATAGTAACAGTTTTACTTTATTGAATTTGTAATCGCTTTTTGTGTGGAATACTTGATGCGGCCCAGGCTCACTCAGACTCTGCCTCCTGCGGCCCCCAGATGATTTGAGTTTGAGACCCCTGGTTTACAGTATAATGTCATTCTATATCACTTATAAATGCTTTAAAAATATTTGATGTTGAAATATGCCAAAGTCATTAGCACCTCCAGAGTAATTTTTTATGCATTTTTTCCTCACAGAAACTCATTCAAATTTTTGTTAGGAAAGTTTTAGGCATCAACAATCAGAAAACAAAACCAAATTCTGTTAAACATGTTTATTCTAAATGTAAAAAAAAATGTGCATGCATAAATTATGCAAATCAGGGTATATAATTTTCATAAATGTTGAGATATCAATTTCATTCATGAAGATCGTATTAGTTAATTCAATTCCCTAAAAGAATGTAGATAGTTTTTCTATTTGTAAAGTTATTAGTTTATTCTTAAAATAATTTGCCAAGTAACTGCAGGGCTTGTGAAAAGTGCTCCATCTTCTTGGCACGAACAGTGCAAAAAGGCTCATTCTCAATAGGGTTAAAAGCAGTATTGGCTGATCTAAGAATAAATATTTCAAAGATGACTAGGAGAAAAGTGTCCAATATAAAAGTGTGTTTGAGAAAATTAATTTCTATTTTCTCCATCTTGCATTGAAGTCTATTATTCATCTAGGTGAAGAACAAAATCTGTAAATAAAGTTCATTATTGTCTTTTATTAGATAAATGGTCATTAGAATTTCTTTTAAAAGAAAATAAGATTATCCTCTTAACGCTGGGTGAGTCCTTCTAAGTACATTTTACATCTAAAGATAACGGTTATCCGCGTGACCCACATAGTTTGTTCGTGTATTAAATATAATTATACATTATACAGGGCTTGCTTTATCACAGTAACCTACATTTCTAATCTGGGGATTACACTTTTGGCCTTGATAGAGTACAAATGGCTTGAAACATGCTGTGTAGCTAAATAAAATGTTTATCTTAGAAAAATAAGCTTTTAATTTTAATCAATGCTGAATGCAATTAATACCTGAAGTAATTCATGTCCTTCAGTTTTAGCTGCATTGCATCATCTTATTCTTTTATTCCTTGTACTTGGCCTACTTAACTTAATCTAGGTTTTAATTGAGAATAAATTTATATCTCAGCTCACCGAGTTATGCCTCTTTGGTTCCCCCCATTTTCTTCACTATTATGATGCCTCTGAGTTAGTGGTTAATAAACTGACTGTTCAAAAGAAAGAAATGTACTTTTAAAATTTAGTTGATTTAAAAAATAATTAGTCCGTGAATAATGGTCTGGAATAATAAAAAAAAAAATTTTTTTTATAAATTTTCTTGGATTTAGATTCACTTTATTTAACTAAGGTTTAAGGGGAGTTGTTTCCTTATCTAAAAAAATGGAAGAGTCAATGAAGTATAAGAAACTCATTTTTCTTTCAGTGGCAAGATCACATCACCAAGATGGAAGCAATTCAGGGGTTTACATGTGTCTCAGAAACAGCGAATTCGCCTCAACAATCTCATTTGGAGAGAATGGCACATGCAGTGTAAGATATATTGGAAAAGATTTAGTAGGATTTTTTAAAGCTAATACAAATATAATTATTCATGGGCAGGAAACAAGTAAATTTTGTAATGTTTAGTGAAAATAATCTTTATAGCATGATCCTCTTCTTCTGATTTTGAAATAAGCTCATTCATGTGAATGAAAAGTTCTGGTTGGGATGGCTAAGCTATATATTGTATTTTAAATCTTACTAGTGATAACTTTTGACGGGAAAAAAAGGGTAATTGGAGACATTTTTAAAATGTTTCAGATATTTACCAGAAGGCACCGATGGTTTGTCAGTTTGCCTGTCCTTTGTCAGATGACGTTCATTCAAAGCCTGAGGTAATAGGTCAATTTCATTAAAGATGTTGACTTGCAAATTTCTTTTATAAGATTGTAATGTCATTGATATAACACATATTGTTTTCACTGTAGGTTCTTCATTTCTTCGTTTCTTTTACTTTGAAAGGAACAATATTATTTAAATCAGAAAAAAAGCAAAAGATTTTTCAATTATAATTTTGGATATCTTCCCTCTGCAGGCTGTTGTGCTGGAGGGAAAATATTGGAAGAGGCGACTAGACACAGTCACTGCTGAATATAAGAAATGGCGGCGTTACTTCAAGGAGCGCATTCGGCAACAGCAATGCATCCCATTTCAGGATAGCAGTAGGCTCAATGAAAATGAACTCCTAGAAAGGGTCAGAGAAGTGACCTTTATCCCTCACAGCTCGGGAAGCTACATGTCCAACACAGATCTGAACCTCCTGCAGTCTGACATAATGGACATGGATTTTACTAACGAACTGTTTGCAAGCTTGAACAACCAGCCATTTGCTTTCCCTAATCCAAGGGAATTGAGTAGGTTTTTTTTAAAGGATGTGGTGCTGTGATAGAATCTTCTTTCTTCTTATTTTCCTTTGCTAATACTTTAAAATTGTTTGTGCTTACTTAACCCTATAACCGTCATAACGGCCGATCATTGGCCATTATACCCCTTTCTGTGGTGGCACGGCCAATATCAGCCGTTAGTAAAATCATCATTAAAAATGCTAATGATATAATGTGTATTGTTTAAGGGGAAATCACTCTATATAAATCAGTTTACTTCCTGTTTCCGTTACTATCAGTGTGTAAATATGCTTTTATCAGGGATTTTTTTAGATAATCGGGTGTGAAATTTTCTCAATTTTTTTAAACGCTATATCTGATGCCGAAGAGGGTCCCCCTCTAGATTTCAAAATAAACACAGAATTTCTTTATTTGAATCATTTCAAATAGGTTAAAATGAAAGCAATGATCTCAGAGATATTCCAAATGCTAGTAATGACTATAACCTCTAGCGGTGATGGTGACATAAGAGTCAGATATTTACAAATTTATCCCCTAGCTTAGTCATATTGTTACAGACGAATTAGTTTGGAAAAGGGTGGAAATCAAATAGAAAAAGACACATATTTGCTCCCAAAGACTTACCCCAAAGATAATTATGTTTGTGTATGTTTTGGAGTATTAATTAATACAAAATGGATTTAAAAACTTCAATTGAAAAAAGAATTGTGCCTTCCCCCTTGAATTTTGTATGACAGAAATTTGAATGTAGAGAATGAAAAAAATCAATATCAAAATTTTCAATATAAGTACTCATAACTTGACATTTTCTGAAAGTATATTGCTTCTAGTATAAAAAAAACTTGATTTTATGATAGTTTGAACAATTTATTGAGCATTAGTTTGGGTAGAATTCAGAAGAGTACTAAAATTTGATCCACTCTGTAAAGGTCAATTCCTTTCATACTAAAAGATACTTTGTCCAATGTACTTTCAGAAAATGTATACTTGTAAGGTCTCTAAATTCATTTACTCTGGGATTTTGGTCATTTTTGACACGCCTATGAAATTGCTAAAAATGGCTTGACGCTATAGAAAAATGTTCTTGGCAGTTATAGGGTAAAGAAAAGTTAGATTTTAAAACCGGTCTGTGTATTTTTCCATGTTAAGTGTACATATTTTATAGTGCCAGAATGTGAATGTTACCATTTAAAAATGTGAGGACAAGATTAGGCCTTTAAAATATAGATTCTCACATTATGGTCTGTTTAAAAATAAATGTCTTCTTGTGATTTTTGAAACAACAAAAAATTTTTTAACACAGTAAAAGAAATAGTATAAAATTGAACCCAACTCCTTGATAATAGATAAGAAGATATACTTGGAAAAATGTAATTTGAAATACATACTTATCTCTATATTAAATCAGTCAATGCCCAGTATAATTGAATCAATGCCCAGTATAATTCAATCAATGCCCAGTATAATTCAATCAATGCATCTTTTTTGACCAGGCAACCTCAGCTGTGCTGATCTTATTCAACCTGGTCTTGTTCAACTTCAACCAAACTTAGAAGAGTTTATGGACATTGACTCAATGCAAGGTCAGTCCCAACTATTTTATAGACCTCTAAATCTAAATGGACGAAATAATCACAAGCAGATTAGAGTCTAGAAAAATTAGAAATAACGGTTTCATTCAACTTGATTTTTCTTTGCAAAATTTCAGAACTCTTGAATGCAAGGATTCCAACCTCATTTTCTTCTACTTTTTTGTCAGACACTTCTTCAAGTGTTGAGATGGGACAGGTATAGTAATATTGTGTGCCTAATTCATTAGCATATTATGACTATTGTTTTGACTTAATTTGTTCCAAATTTTAAGGTTAGCTAGCTGACCCTGCAATGTCTGCAACCTATTCTTTTATAATTGTTACCCCAGCCCAACCAAGTTAAATACATTTTTAGATAACACACATTATTAGGGCTTTTAAAAAGTTGGTGTGTGATAGAGCAATTAATTTATGTAGAACAATTAATTTATGTTGCCACAGAATGTGAATAGAGCACATTTTATGATTTTTAAATCACTATTTAATGTAATTGTCAAAATGTCATTGTAATCATTATACCCTCATTTTGGATTAACAACTATTAACTACACATTTTCAAGTAAAACTATTCTGTTTTGATTAGGTCTATAATATTACTTAAAAAAGTTTTAGAAAAAAACCTTACATGATGAACCTTTGCTTTAATATGCAGTGATTAATTTTTATTTTAAATTTTCAAAACAGGGAAATATGAACAGCAATGAGATGTCTTTAGTTGATTTCCTGACAAGCTCTTCCATGGGGAATGGTGTGTCTAGCACACCTAGTGATGCAATCACTTCATTTGCTACCACTGTGTTTGGTGGCAGTAACAACATCAACAACATCCAAAACAACAATTTTCTGACAGCTAGCGCTGGTCCGTCCCACAACATAACATTTCAGCTGACATCTGACAATGGTCAGTACCATTTGGACCCCAACACAATCGTTCTGGGGCCATCTCAGAATATCAACACAACACAGCAGACTTTCACAATTGTTCCTTCTGGGATTTACCAAAACTTTGGATTTACTAATACATCTCAATCTCAAAAGCCGGTAGCTACTGCTATCACGTCAGATCTGCTGGCACAAATGCTTCAGCAGCAGCGACCTCAGCAGGACACACCAGTGTTAACACGAAGACAAACTCAACAACCGACGCCAACCTTGCTCCAGTCTATCATTTCTTCAGCCCAAACACAGCAGCATCAGCAAAACCTCCATCAGCAGCAATCATTGTTTCAGCAGCCATCACCTTCTTCTATGAGTCCTATCTTAGCTCAGTCACTCTCTGTTCAGCACCAGCCTCATGCAATGATTCGGCCGAGCCCTACATCGGTGCAGAGGAAATCCAATAAAATAAACAAAGTGAACAACAATTCCTCAGGCAATAGTGACAGTGCTAGTGGAGTTATTTCTGGATTGGCAAGAATGGCAGGATCTGCTATGCCAAACAACAAAAAGAAAGATGGACCATTTGCTGTGCCAACCGTAAGATTTTGTTGTAATTCTTAAAATATTTTGGAGCTCAAAATATACTTTCTGCATATATATTAAATCTGGGTTTCCCAATGTCAGTTAATAAGATTTTATTTGGAAATAACACCCTTTTCAGACCTGTTCACTGTTTTGGCGTATAATGTGCGATTTTGAGATGTCTTTTACAATCATACGCCTAGACCTGTCATAAATACGGTTTTATTTTAAGAGACTGAATTAAAAATATATACATTCCGGTAGTTTTTCCGTTTTGAAAACATTAAAAAGTATATTAAATTTTTGATTGCTAGTTTAAGTTCCTTTCTACATCCTATTGTGAAAGGATCAAGAAATTGGTTTGGGGCCATCTCTAATTATATTGCATTAGCCCTATGAAGGGAAGGGGGTGGTGTTGATTTAGATTTTGTGTACATGTATTCCCTGTTTCAGATATATTTTCAACTATAATCTACAAAAATAAACCGCCACGTTTACATAATGATGGTGATTATGGTCATATTGTTGCTTTGTGTTTTCATAATGTCCTCACTAGACATGGCAACAATAATATAAGTGGAGTCGTCCTAATGACAATTTTAGTTATATCCCGCTTTTGATTGCTTCTGTGCTGTATAACGTAGTATTGGGACATAATTATTATTTTGTGTAGAGTGCAAAAACTGAGAAACTAGTTCAGCATCATTCGATTTCGACATATTTTATAGGATCTGAAAGGACATTTGAGTTCTTTTATTAGGAAAACAACTGTACAATTTTTAATACCTCTGTTCCAACTCTAATCTTCCTTTCACCCATTTACAACTTTAGGTAGTTATCAGACTAATAATTTGTTAACATGACATAAGATAAATGTATATTGATTCTTTTTTCTTTTTTTTAAAATAGCTTTTTCCCTAAACAATAAATATCAAGTTACTTGGTAGGTTGTGTAAATGGCGTCTTCATTTTGTAATTAATTCTTATTTCAATACAATTTATTTTTTCTGAACTGACTTCGAGTTTGAAGCACCTAAAATTTCACCAGTAACTTTATTTTTTACCAGGGACAGACTGTCATAATTTGATCACCAAAATATTAATTGAGATCTATAGCACCCTAGTTTACCCTCAAACTCTTAAAATTGTACAATATCATCACAAAATCATTCAATACATTATATTAATAGAAAAAAAAATAAACATACAGTATATATAATGCATACACCTCAAAATCTTACATTGTACGCCAAAATCGTAAGAGTAAACAGGTCTGCTATAGCAAATACATGTCTGCAGAACAAAGTGACAGCAGATTGCAATATAAACATCAATCATCTACCTTTGGAAGTTACCATTTTTGACACCAGATTAACTTCATTCCACTTGACATGTGATGGGAGTAGTTTTTGTACTTTTTATATACTGCATGTTTATTTATTTACTATTAAGATACTATATTGTACAATTTTGAGGTGATATTTTATGGTTTTAGGAGTTTGAGAGTAACCAGGTCTTCTTTTGAATGTCTATTTCACCAAGCAAAGTATCTAAAAAATCTTCTTCTTCTATATCTTTATAAAATTATTTAAAAAAAACTAGAATATAACAAAATAAATATTAAAAAGGAAAAATTAGACAGCAACCACTCAAATATAAACTTTAAATCTGAGCTGATTATAACTGCAGTTCACTCAAATTTAATTTATTAACATTGTTAAAACAAACTGCATAATTACATTTTCATCATGCAAATTTTACCTGAGTTTTTCTTCTTTTTGTAAAAATTTTAATTATTGAATCTTCTATATGGTTTCATTAAGTTTTCCTCATTCATCTTACAGAAGAAACTCATATTGCTTTTAAACATTGGATTGTTTGACTAGAAACCGTATCCACTCTTACGAATGATCTGTTTATTTCAATGATTCCTGTGGTTTTCTCCAAAGTTTGAAGACTACAATCTGACCTTTGGTCATCTCTAGTGGAATCTGTCCACAGCCACCACAACACTGCACTTCGAGTGTAAGCAGAGAAAATACTTTTCTGTATTAATCTGTTCATGTGTCTTGTATTTTGCTCTAACAGTTTTAAAGAAAAGCAGATGTGAAAGTTTGAAAAAAAAAGGTGTTAATTTTGTTTTATTTGAAATCTCTGGGAATTTTGAATTCATTGTAAATGCAACATTTTCTCTACTGTCTAACTGAATCAATTCATTATGTTTCCTTCAATTTTATAAATAGAAATCTACTGGAGAAAGATGTCCCTCATTGTAGTTGTCATTCTGTCATACTTTTAAATTACTATCTTACTGATGCAACCTTCTAATCAACATTTTTCATATCAGTATAACATTATAAAGCAAAATAGTTTTTAACCTTCCATTCATTCTGTCAATTGTTTTTGTACATATAAAAAGAAAATTTGATTCCAACTTTTAAAAACTCCTCAGCATTTAAATCATTGCAAATTTTTTCTACAAATGAAATAAAACTTTTAAACAACAAAAAAAAAAAATTATCCATTTCATTGGTAAACTGGACTAATAAAATTAAGAGTATTTTACTTTCATGGAAAAGCAAAGGCTTGGGCTTACTTACTACCTCTTTAAAGATGTAAGAAATGTTTGAGTAGGCCCAGTTTTTGCTCTTTTTCCAGACACCCACGGAGAGCACTGTTCCTTGAGTCTACCACCGTTTAAGGGGAGAGACCAAGACAGAAATGTGTCCATGGGCTTAGCTTACCTTGAATGATTCCCACTCGATAAGAAATGTACATTTTATTTTAAAAATTATGAAGAGGATTCCATAATATTTATATCAAATTTTTAGATATAAAATGTGATACAATTTGATTTTTTAATACAACTCTTTGTATTTTTTTTTTTTACCTTTCAAATGATTTGATGCAAATTCAAATACATGTGCATATTTTGTAATTCAGACTGGTTATCTGTATTCCATTTGTTACACCTCTGTGTACTGCCTTGATCAATGTACCATGATTGAAAATATATTATATATTAGATGTTTAAAAGATTTTTTAAAATGGCTTAAAAACTAATTAGTGTTTCTCTTTCTAGGTCAAACCTGTAAATACACCCCGTAAAAACAGAGTGATTGCACCTGCTCCTTCACAGCCACCACTACCTCAAGCTCAGCTGACTACACCTGTGTCTTCACCTTCAATGCAAGCTTCCTACCTAGCTGAACTCTTGAAGAATGGTAAGTAAAGATAAATAGACAGTATACTCTGGAGATAGACATCCATACAGCCTAAATAAACTGTTTCAGGTGTTCAGCTGTAATAATTATTGTTTCTAATATTTAAAAAAAAAAAATTTTTTTGTGACATCTGTCTTTCACAATGGGAAAAATTGGTCTAGACTTTGCAGGATGAAATCACAAGGCCTGGAATTTTTCTTTAGGCAGTTAAGCTGATTCCCTACACAGCAAATCACATTAATATTTATAGACCTAGAAACGATTATTTTATTGATTCAAATAAATATAATTTTTTTTAATTACACCGTGCGTATTCATTTTATGTACTGGATAAACATTCTGAATTACGTAACTATTGTGAAGCTAGAAAAATTTAAATGTAAGACTCTTAAAGTGTTTCTTGAGATAAAGAAGAGTAAGATGTCACATAAACCATAAACAGGAGGTAGTCACTTCAAATTCATTATTATATAAAAAATAATCAGATTCGATTGCATTGAAAGGGGCTTTTAAATTAAAATAAAAAGTGCTTTTTCAAATTAATAACTGGGGTATTAAAATTAAACAAAAATCATCAAGGAACATATCCGGGGGCTTTGATCAGTGTGAAGAAAGAACCCCCACAAACCCAGCACATCCCAGTGCCATCCAGTCCCATCAAGACCACAACCAACCAGTACCAGCAGATACGGCCCAACTACAACAATTCAGCCATCGGTCGACAAATCAACTCCGGACCTGGTCAGCAGATGAATACAGGCATCTCCCAGCAGGTGACCTCCGCTAACCTAGGCAACATAACTACGGCCAATCAGATCCAGGTTTCTTTGCCTTTGATTACTGGGACAACAGTTTCAGCTATTGACGTATCATCGGTTAGTACTATTTTGTATTTATTCCAAACAAATAGAAAAATATTCTGCATTTTATATATAGATATTATGCCAGTAATTTAAAATGGAAAATCTCCCTTGGTTAAATCTAAAAATTCTTAAAGCTAAAATTCCAAGTAAATTATTGGGAAGAAATGAAATAAGAATTCTCCAAGTGTTAAATTAGTTAGTTAAAACCATAAGAATTACCTGTCAGTTGGCCTGGAAGCACTAGTTATAACCAGAAGCATGATGACCTGTAAGTTGGCATGGAAGCTCTAGTTATAACCATAAGCATTACCTGTAAGTTGGCATGGAAGCTCTCAAATTTCTATCGAGATTGATGTTGAAAAAGCCGTAACAAAAACAGGGACTAAGGAATATAATAGTTTTATTTCACATTAAGCTATTAAAATTAATTTAGCCTTTTTTGAAACAATATTTTAGATGACAAACCAAGAGCTAACAGATGCGATTTTGTCCAACTCGCTTGCAAACATCAACCCCGCCACCCCTCCTGCCATGAAAGACCTGGGATTCAGATTCTCACCCAAGGCAGAAAGTGAAGGTACAAACTTAAAGTATTTTTTTCAAGAACCTCTTTGTGTATGAAGTGTACATTGTCATATAATAATTGTTTGTTGAGAACACAGTGGGTTCTTATTATAATATATGTTGATGAGCTTAAGGTATTGTTATGAATGAGTTTAATGAATTTAGTATCTAGAACTCTTTTGTGAGATGCGGAATATGGCTATTAGTAACATATTTATGGATGTGTTTTTTTTCAAGAAATTCATCTTACATAAAATTTCAAAATGATATTTAAATTGTTTAGAAAGCCCTATACTAGAAACATAAAAACTCACATGTGATGATGTAAGCTACATTGACACCATACTGGAGAAAAATGAATGGTAACAAATTTGAAACCTTGATTTGCGTACGTACATCGCTTTGGCACAAATATTATTTAAAAATTTTATGTTTTAAAAAATAATTTATTCCTCCAGCAGCACTGTCTATTTCACCATCAAGCACAATTCTCCAGAAGAGTCCAGACTCTAGCCCACTTATGGTCAAAAGGTCACCTTCACCTCCTCTGTCAATGGACACAAGTAGCCTTATGGAACCTGTCTCACCTTATTCCAGCATGCCCATGTCTCCGTCTATGGTCAGTGTAACAATAGACCAGTTGCACCCACCTTTGGGTCATTGTTATATTTAAAGAGATTTTTGTAAATTCTTTACTTTTCTTTAATTAGTCTTAATAAAAGGAATGCTATTTACATAAGTGATGATGTAGAAATTCATATAGTTAATAACTTCCTAAAATATCTTTTCTTTTTTTCTTAGGGCATGCCAGATTCACCCGGGTCTGGTGATTCGGCTTTTTCTAAAGATCCAAGGAGAGCTGCTCACTTATCAGCAGAGCAGAAGCGAAGGTGCAATCTAAAGGTAATGTCTCACCCCTCACTTTGTGCTGTTAACAAATTAAACAAGATTATAGCATTTGTCCATTTACAGATCAATTTACCTCATATAGTGTTAAAATAAATAATTTTTTGAAAGACATTTTTTTTCAAGGACTGTTAAGTTAGAGCCATAGTATAAAATATATTTGCTGAGCTATTTATAGAGCTGCAGCAGGGCCACATTGGGAGAGCATATGTGCGCATGACACAGAGAGTAATATTTACCCTCTAGTGCTTCAGATTTAGAAACTATAGTAAAACAAATATTATCATTTAAATATTAATCACTCTTTCAGTGAAATCATTGTAAATGATGGAAACCATACATGTAAACCATGAACCCATGATTATCAGTTATTCTTCTTAATGGTGCATCTGGTCAATTTTCTTATTTTACAGACTGGTTTTGATATGCTGCAGCAGCTGGTCCCATCACTGTCTCAGAATCCAAAAGTTAGCAAAGCCACTATGTTACAAAAAAGTAAGTCTCTCAATATGCGAACTCTAAAGGTTTAGTTTTGTGTATGAGTAAATGCTACTGAGAACGAATTCATTACATCCTAAATTGATTATAAAAAATATATATTAATTTTAGTGTGCTTTTTATTTAATACATTTTTACTGTACTGTATTTTAAGTTATTAAAATATTAATACAAAATAATTACTTAAGAAATTACAAAAGACCACTACAGGACGTATTCATATTTTGTTTTCCTTAGCTGCTGAATTTTGCAAAAAGCTGAAAGCTGAAAGATTGCAGATGCAAAAGGAAGCAGCCATTTTGAAAAAAGAAATTGACACACTGAACACTGCCATCAGCACTGTCCAGTCTCAGTTGCCGGAGACAGGTGTGCCTGTAACGAGACAGCGTAAAGACCAGATGAAGGAAATGTTTGATGAATATGTTAGAGTGAGGACCACTGAGAACTGGAAGTTTTGGATTGTATCCTTTTGTGCACTCAAATTGGTTTAGATTTAAAATATTCAGTCTTAAGTACGAACCTGTGTATAGAAATCATCACTGGACCTATAGAAACTATTTAATTGTTTTTGACATATATTAAAAGTCAATGATATGTTAAAGGTGTCTCGTCAGACCATATATTAACCAATGTAAAGTAGATGCAGCATTGTGCTTTGAGACTAGGTTATGGGTCAGTGTTTTGTTACCTCGTCATCTAGTCATTTATCTTTTAAAGATTTCAGATGCACTTGAAATGGATATTGGGTTGAATTTCCAAATGGTCAACATAACATTTTCAACCGGGTGGCGCAATGATAGCATAGTGTTTCTCACAACCAAGAGCCGTAGGTTCAGAACTTGCCTGTCCCCAGCTATAAAAAAAAATATTCAGGTTGAATGAACCTTAATACTGAATATTAAACGAGGTGTGCCATGAAAATAAATTTTGTAAATCTATGAAAATGAATGCGTTGACAGGTATACAATCAACTTTTGTATATGTGCTTGTGATTTAATTAATGCAATTCAAAGATTGGAGTTTATCTAATTTATTCAGATTAGACTTTCAACACAGACTACTAAGCTTAATCCAATCAAAAAAGACTACTTATTCCTAAATTAAGGTCATGTCAATTTGCCCATGGGAAGATGCCTATAATATATAATCTATTGTACAAGCCAATGTGTTGACCTTAATAAAGTTCTCTCCAGTTTTCTGTGATCATGAACACGCTGTATGATTCCTACTGTAACACTGTGTCCACGGCCAGCATCGATGACCTGTGTCGCACATCACTTACCTGGCTTGACCAGTCTTGCTCTTTGGTCACACTTAGACCAAGTAAGTATTGACAATGGATTTTTTTGTGTGTAATAGCTTTTATAATGTTATAATTCAGTTCATTTTCAATTCTAATCATCCCTTTTTTAAAATTATGGCCCATTTAATTTTAAAAATATGTACTTTTAAAATTCTCTTTAATTTAAAAAAAAAAAAATGGAAGCCATCGCTCTGCCTAAAAAAATATTTATACATTCCTCTTCCCCCCAGATGTTCTGAATGCACTGAGGAGACTGAGCACTACCACCAGTATTCTCACTGAGCCCCAGAAAGTCAGGGAACAGGCCTTACAAGCTGTCTCCAAACAGAGCAGGTCTAGCAACAACATGATGACCAAATAGCAGTGGGCCTGACTAGGAGTTTTATCTGCTTTGTTGTGAGGCCAGGATCTGTCTGATTGGAAGCTTGATTTTTTTCTATGTAAATATAATGAAGTTCTGAATGGATTTCTGGCAATAGATGTCCAGACTAAGGTCAAGATTGCATTGATTGGCTGTTTAATAATGAGACTGAGGTTAAGCACTGAGTTGCTTGGCTGTTTGATAATGAGAGCATGGCCAAAGACTGCATTGATTAACTTTTTGACTATGAAACAAAGATCAAGCAAGGACTGCACTGATTGGCTGTTTGATAATGAGACTATGTTCAAGGACTAGACTTGATTGGTTGTTTGATAATACTGCATTGTTTGTTTTCACTGTAAGTTTTGAATTTTTAAACATATGTAAATCAATTTTTTTAGTGCTCTGGCTTAAGGGACGGACTGTTTCATACGTACAAAGTTGATTATATCAATTGTTGGATTCTTGACGCATAATAATTTTAAGAATATACTACTGCATAAACATTGAGTGATTTATAGGATAACTGATTTTCCCAGTTACATTATTTATGGTAGAACCATTATCTATCATTATATCTATCTCTAAGACGAGATAGACATATAATTTGATGTACTTTGATCTGAAGTAGCACGAACTCGCTTGTAAACTCAAACTTAAAAAAACTGTATTGACTTATGCAGCCGATAAAATGTCACATTATCTGATTTTATTGCTTTCATTTGTGAATGACCAACATAACCTACTTAAATCCATGTTCTGGAGTCAATCAGTCAATCCAGAAGTATGCAAATCTACTCTTTTTTTGTTAACAACACCTGACTTAAAAATAAAGTAGCTAAAACGATCATATCATGTGCTGTGGCCATTTAGTTCAACCATTTTTTTCATGATTTTATCTCTTATTATGATTTGTTAGCAGGTGTAGTGTAGATCAATTATTACTGGTAATAATTATTAAAAGATGAAGTTTAAGAATTACTACCAAAAAAAAAAATCAACTAACAATGAAATCAATTTGAAATGAAACATCTAAACTTATCAAATTGGGGGTAGTATCATTTAGGCATGAAAGTTCAATTCAAAATGCAATGCTGTAACAAAGTCATTGCCTGAGCCAGATGAAAATATGAAGCTAATGGGTTAGAAAATGAAAAACAGTCCCAAGATAGGTTTTGGCTATTTTTGTTGACAACATGGTGGCATTCTTTCTATGAAGAAAGAAATAAGTGCACATGTTTGAACCTGGAAAGACTACTTTTAAAATAAATTTTCAGGATATTTGGTTGTAAGAAAATACTGTTTAGAACAAACTTTTTGATAGTGTCTTATTTATATATGTAATTCCTTATCGGCATAGTAGTTATTTCATTAGTTAGATCTAATAATTTGCAATATTCATGTTTTTAAAAACATTTTTCGTGGTTGTGGTCTATTATTTGTTTTAGATCCTTTCCAATTGTACTTTTATTATTATTTTTTTTTTTCCATCCTAGTCATTTTAAACAATCCATAAAATATCAGCTGAACTAAAGAAGAGTTATCTATTATCAAAAGTGTAAAACTGTCATTAGAAGTGGGGGGGGGGGGGGGTGTTTTTATTGTTTCTCTAACAGGAAAGGTTTTCTATATTTCCAATATAAAATGTTCATTTATTCTTAACATGAGACAAATAAAACATGCAGTATTGAAAAGTGTTCAGTACAACATACAGTATTGACAAGTGTTCAGTATTGCTACTTCACAAGGTGCAGCTACTGGTCTCAACATTTGGGCCACCTTATTTTGTATGATTTTTACAGCACTTTTGATTACTTACTGTTGATAATCAGTTCAGATGAAAAAGTACCCTATTTATGGTATAGATAATCCAACCCATAGTTTTTATCATGTCAGCCTAGACATTGATAATGAAAGGCATAGCCTGTAATATTCAATTTAAGCAGATGTCCACAATTAAAGGACCTAGGCGTACGGCATAAGGATTTTGGAATTTTTATGGAAAGTGATCAAGTATGGATGCTTTTTGGACAATTTAAAAATAAAAATATTATTTCACTTTTAAACTTGGTAGTTGTACTTTTCACAGCTGAGAAATTCACTTTGAAACAGACTTTAGAAAACAGTGTAGTTAAAGGAATTTTTTTTTTTTTTTTGCTAACATGTTACATTTATTAAAGTTGATTGATGTTGGTTACAATAATTGCTCTCATTGGCAGCTGGTTGCTTACGCGTAAACTTTGCTGATGTTATAAACTACCTTGTGGATACATTTCACTTGAACATTTCTTAAGTGACCAAATAAGACGATTGTGGTTTTAATGCCAGCTTTGAGAACCATTATTTTTGAAAGATAGTCTTTTTGTTTTTATGTGTTGCATCTAATTTCTTTGTCATTTAATCGATGTACACTTTTAGAGACAATATTAAATGTACAATATCTCCCTCCATACTTCAATCACTTTCAAAGTGTGTTTCAGAAAATAAGTTTACATTTTGCTAAAATATTAATTTTCTATTTTTTTTTAGTGAAACATCAAAAAAAAAATTTTGCGGGGATAACTGTGTGTTGTGACTATATATTTATAGTTATAAAAAAAAAAACGTTAAAAAAATTACCAATAATGTAACCTTTTTTCACCTCCAATTTTGGGCATTTTTGTGACCAATTTTGTTTGCAAACAGCAAAAAGTTTGGAATTAATGGTAGTGCATGATGTTTGCACCAGAGGAAATGTTGGCAAAACAAAACATGATGTCAAGATTGAATGAACCTCCCTTAAATTTTTTAAAATTATTTCAACTTAACTAAAGACAGGAGCCTTCTGTGTCTGTATTTTCAAAGCTTAGTTCTGTGTTATCTCGTTGAATTAATTGTGTAACAACCAATTTGTCGGAGTAATACTAGTAATAGCTTCTAATGAAGCTTGTGAAGTCTGATAGAGGGAACCAACTCTTTTCTGACCTGAAATGTCGGCACAATCGCCATCACCCCGTATAAGGGAGACAATGTTAATTTCTGCTTTTATATAAACATACCAAGGAACTCGAACATGTTTTAATTTTTAAGTCTTGCATTGCTCAATATTATTCTTGTGATGGATTTTTGTTAGACTCATAACATCTTTTACCTCCACTAGTGGCCAGCCATCATGGCATTTAATTGTATCGGTTAACACTGAGCTACACAAGAAGTCATTTGTTTGCAAAAAACAAGCAGGCTTTAGTTTTAGTTTATAGATGGTATAAAAAAAACAGTTTTTGTAAGTTTTTAAAAAAAGTTTCTTGTTATTGTTCAAACTTGGCTTATTTCTTGTTGGAGCACTGGAAACTGAGAGTGTTACGTGGATTTAATTCTAAAACTGGCAATGGGCTCAGTTAGCCTCGCCTTCACACTGCCAGTAATGCAGAAACTTGCACAGATAAATCTTGAGTTTGATGGTATGATCTGTTACCACTTGACCTGTGTGTTGGGACCTGTGTGTTGGGACCTGTGTGTTGGGACCTGTGCCTATGATTTTCAGTGTTATGCTTACAGGGAATGTTATGATTTCCATCTTCAGTATTATTCTTCTCCTCCCTTCTCACACATCCGTGGCTTGTGTTGGCAGTAAGCAAGCTGATCCATTGGCTGGAATTAGTACAATTATGTTTTAATAAATTACATGTTTATAATTTTTATGTAGTTTGTAAACTAACTTGCTGAGGTATCCACTGTATCATGTGCACTCTGACTTACTGAGGTCTCACTGTATCATTTGCACTCTGACTTACCCAGGTCTCACTGTATCATGTGCACTCTGACTTACTGAGGTCTCACTGTATCATGTGCACTCTGACTTACCCAGGTCTCACTGTATCATGTGCACTGTTACTTACTGAGGTCTCACTGTATCATGTGCCCTCTGTCAAAGAGGAAAAAATTACGTTCTGCGTCTAAACTTTCTGCTAAAGGTGGATATGTCATGTTGCACGTTATACAAGCTCCTCACACCAGTACCACTAATGTTGTCATCTCTGTCTTTGTAGTACAGGCATTGTATGTCAGCCTTTGTCTTGGGAATTCACTTGACATAAGATAAACTTGATGGGGTCTTGCTCTCTGTGGATGAGTTTTTCATGTGCTGTCAGACACACTATTGTACAGTATTGTAACACCTCCAACCACCCACCAACAGACCCACGTGACCCACAAACACATCCAAAGACACACTACTCACAGACACCCTACTTGCAGACACACTACTCACAGACACACTACTCACAGACACACCACTCGCAGACACACCACTCACAGACACACCACTCACAGACACACCACTCACACACATTAAAACTCTGATCCCCAGTATTTCAGTTTGTAAATCTCAGGTTCCCAGCCTGTCATTGATGTATGTTTACTAACAGTTATTGTAAATAGTTTGAAGGCTTTGTTCCTATCACCACATATTTTCTCCATTCATTCCTCACAGCTGTGACATTAACATTGTAGGAAAGTTGATGTGTTCCTTGTTCAGTGTACATAAATACAAGCTACTTTGAGTTGCCGTCCTGATGGCATGTTTTGCAAGCGTGTTTGATTGTTTTAGTTTCTATGTACAGCTTCAAGAGTGTTTTTAACTTGTAGTAATGTTTGTATAATTAAGAGAATTGAAGTGTCCTCGACACATGGATAAATGCAGACTTCAGATATGTTAGGCTTAACATACTTAGGCATAAGCTTGACCTAGAGTCGGCATAGTTTCAACATATTTAAATATTTAAACAAACCTTTTTATTAAAACCATTTGAGCATCACACAGCTGTTGATTCATATGTTATGAATGTACTTCAAATATGTTAAAATCACAAAATGAATTGTTTCAATCATTTATATTTAGAAGAAGGATACAAACAATTATTTTGTATTGACTTTGTGTTTGAGCTTTTAGAAAATTTTGCCCCACAGCCTCATAGGTTGGGATTGGTTTTGCTTGTAGTGGAGAAATAGTTGCATCGTGAAGACATTCGGTACACTTTCAGTATTGACTTAGGGCAGTCCTAACATTGGCTGAGGAGTCATTTAGATTGGCTTCATGTTAGTTAGATGTCTCATGTACAAATATATGTGGCTACGTAATGTAGAACTGTTGCACATATCAGCAGTTTGGTTGATTATACCGAATTAGTGCCAGAACCAGCCACATTACAGGAAGCAGACTAATCTTTGCTGGGAAATGTGCCCATTTGAATTTTATATAACCAACTTTCAACTAGAAAAAAGAAGTGTCTGCTAGGGATAGTGCCCTAGGATGTGTCAGGGTAGCCATGAAGACGGTTGATCATTTTCATGTTTATGTGAACAGTTGATTATTTTGTGGAGCTGTGTAGTTTTATTGTAATCTCTTCATCTCAGGGGTCTTAACACTTTGTACATGACAAGCCTTAATAGCTTTTCACCCCGCTTCATCCTATTGTAAGGCCTTATCCATCCAAACTCTCAATGTGCCCTGAATAGGTAAGCTATTCAGTATGCTCTGCACTTGCCGAGACATGTAAATAAAATTGTAGTTTGTCACATTTGATTATCAGAATATTAAATAACGTTGACCTGCAACACCTCCAGCGTATACCCTCAAGAAATGTAATAGATGGACGGTAAAAAAAACTTTTGTGTTATTGACAGAACATTTCAAAAGACTTACAGCTGCTGGCTGGAGGAGGATTCATTTTAAGTTGACCCGACATTCAGCTATTTTAAATTTTTTAATGAAAAAAATTTGCCTTTATATTTTCTGTATTGGTTGTGATTCTACTCTCAATGGCTGGTTTAATTTTTCTATCATTTTGTGAATGAATTGTCTCATTAAGTTAAAGCAGAGGTTCCCATCCTTAGCTCCGCAGCACCCTAAGGGTTTCTCGGGGGCTTCCCGGCTGCTCCAGGAAACCATTAAATGCTATTAACTTGGTAAGACACAGTTTAGGGCTAAGAAATTGATCCTGAAACATGCTTATTAGAGATAGAGCGATAGAAAAGTAGAATGTCTTGTTTGCTTCCATTGTGTGTGTTCGATATTCATTGTAAGATGAGTTCAAACACTTTAGGACTAGGACATGTCACAGTAACATGTTCCTCTTGCTCAGTTTATTATTGTGATCTTTTACTTTATCCTTAGAATTTATTTATTGGTTTTGTTTGTAATTATTGACATTCTAGGAAGGGTTGCTTGTCCAATTCCATTACTTCTTGAATTCCTCTAAACCAGGGGTGGGCAAACATTTTAGCCATTACCCCAAAATATATTTGTTTGCTTTCATGAAACAAACAACCCCCCCCCCCCCCCCCCCCCACACACACCCTTTTTTCTTTCTTCTTCTTTTTGTGAAAGGAAGTAAGTCAAGACATTTAAATAAAATCGTAGTTTGTTTGTCACATTTGATCCATCA